CATCACATACATTAAACAGGATGTCTCTTTTTCCTTCAACATTCGTTTAAAACAGTAAAAACAAACAAAAGCACACAAAGTGAAATTATTTTAACATACATGCTACTGGGATCCTGTTTATAACTAATTACATGTGTGAGGTTTTTTGGTTTCCAGTTAGGAGTGTGAGCTGCTTAACATCTGCGAACATGTGCATCCTGCTGCGTCCGCGACGTCAAAGACAACACTGTTTTCATGACATCACTCAGGCCAAGTGTGTGTGTGTGTGTGTGCTAAAATCACACTCTCACACATGTTGGTCAACCTCTCTGCACGCTGCTCTCAGACAGCTCGTCACAGGCTTGCAGCCAGATGCATTCTGCTCCTGTGAGGTCATCACTGTGAGACGACGCAAACAGGAGGAGAGGAATCTTCTGTTTGCGCTTCTGTTTCCTCACTCTCCAAATCACAAACACCACCGTGTGCACTCGTAACAGATGTCGCACGGGCGTGATCTCAGACGCAGGTCTGAGTCACGGCGATGTCACACCATATACACGCTCATTACACAGCCAGATAATGCACAAGGATGATGGATTTATTGTCTGCAGATGACAGAGACCACATTTAATGGGCGATTGCGCCTCTCGAGGCTCTCGTAGGACACACAAACCACCTCACGCAGACATAACAAAACTGAATCAAGATTTAACGGAAAAAGGCAGGTGGAGATACTCCGAATCTTAGTGAGAAAATCTCACAGACTGTTGGCGAGAGAGAGGGAGAGAGCGAGGGATGAAAGGAGGAGGCACAGCAAGGCAAAACCAAAGTAAATGAAAACGGGTACATATGGTGGTACAGTTTGTTCAAGCCTGCAAAAGTTGCATAATCTTCCCAGAATGGCATATGGAGCTGCCGGGTGCCACAGGTTTCACTAGAATGCTGAAAAAGAACTGAAAATGGGAGAAACAACAAGAAAATCCGACTCTGACCCCAAAAATAGACTCACAGGTCAGGACAGGTAAAGAGCAGACGTCTGCTCAGTTCATAACTCACTGCTTTCACCTACTTATTCATTTCCTTCCTAAAACGCAAGTGATTCTGTCACCACAAACTAGCTATTATGATGTCATCCATGGCTGGCCTTTCATGAAAAAAAACCCTGATAGTCGTCTAACACATACTCAGATGTCAGCTTATACAACCCTTTCCTCAGCCCTAAATTCCTCCTGTCATTCATTCCTCATTCTTAAACCATCCCCCTCTTTACAGCAAATAACAGGAAGGACAGATTTAGGCTGCTCTGGAAGGGTTTAAATGTATTTTTACTGTGCTGTTAGGTTTGTGGTTAAGCCTCGAGACAAGTTTGCTAGAATTGTGTGGGTGTTATCAATGCTGAGCCTGATCTTCATAAAAAAAAGGAATAAACATACCAGAAATTAGGTTAAGAGTAAGGCTGAGTTTCATCTGGTTTCAAAGTAGAGAAATAAGTGCGGTGGAGGAATGGGATTGCACACTTGTGTAACGTTTGGCTTTGCTTCACAAATTTGACTGTGACTGCACATCAAGGAGGAGAGACAGACAGCCTCTCTCTCTCTCTGCCTGTCTGAGGCAAAAACCACAGGACCTGAAGGTGGTTGGTAACACGATGCTGCAAAGAAAACTTCTAGGTGTTTTGATGCTGCTAATCAGTGAAATGAGACGAGACGCTTCTGCTTTGTACAAACGCAGAGTTTTGTGGGAGATGAATGTAAACACACTGCAGACAGAAAGATACAATATTTCTCTCTTCTTGCAGATTTGGTTTTTAACTCAAGTTAAATGAAAATGTTTTAAAACTGAGTGGGAACAGCTTCAAAGAGACGATGTGTAGTTTTGACTGTTCATTTCTGGAAATATCCATCAAAATGTTGTTGAAAATGAATGAAATGATGCCCAGTTGTTGCTGTTACATCTCATCTAGAAGGTTTGAATCCCAAATGGGGCATTCTCCTTGTGCGTTCTCCGGGTTTCCTCTCATAGGCCAAAACATACATTTCTGGCTAAACAGACAATCTTGAATTGTCCCTAAGTGTGTGTGTGTGTGTGTGTGTGTGTGTGTGTGTGTGTGTGTGTGTATGTGTGTAACGTCTAATTTGTCTCTGTGTGACCCTGTGATGGACTAGTGGTCTGATCAGGGTGTCCCCAGCCTCTCATCTGATGGCTGCTGGAGTTAAGACAACAGATCTTTGTGACTCTTCTGAGAAATAAGCAGTCCAGATACTAGATGGATGGATGGAACTGGGTGCACAAGTTTGAATTTGGGGCAATGGTGGCTCAGGAGTTAGGAGTTCCCTTTGTAATGGGTGGGCTGCTGGTATAAACCCTGGCTTCATCCATGTTAGTTGTTGTGTCCATGGGCAAGACACCTCACCCTCTTTGCCTGCTGGTGGTGGTCGGAGGGGCCGGTGGTGCCTGTGTACGAGAGCCTTGCCTCCCTCAGTCAGGCCCAGGGTGGCTGTGGCTACGATGTAGCTCATCACCACTAGAGTGTGAATGTGGCTGATGTAGGAATGCTGTACAACATGTTTATGATCATTTTATTAATATATTATGGATTTTTCTTTGTTTTGTGTGTGATTTGAACTGAAATGCGACACCAAAAATACTCCAAAGTGGAGGCTTTATGGCCCCAAAGTGGCCCGCATGCACAGAGGACAAGAAGTCACACACAACACGCCCTGTGGAGTCGGAACCAGGAGAGGTGGAGGTGTGTTGCAAATGGCTTCACTGACAGTTCATCCACTATTTCAGGATCACACTTGTCAAGTCTTCAAACCATTTACAAAGTATAAACTGTAACTACTCTGGTCTGCTCCGTACTGACGTCCACACCATTTATGTCCTTCACACGCATCAAAATGTTGTGGCACACCGTGAAAACTAAAAGAAAAACTGATATCTTATTTCAAACCCTTAATCATCTCAATAATAAACATAATCACAGCATTAAAAATATCAGATATGTGTCACATGTGGGGGGGTGGGGGGATGGGACTTGATGCACTTTTGCCTGCAGTGTGAACGTAGTCAAGGAGAACCAAGAAGAAGCTCCTGTTCCCAATGAGACACCTTCAACATTGAATGAAATTAGCAGATGCCCTCTTGACCACGCCTTTTAATCAAAGCTTTTTTGGTCAGAATAGATCAGTACTGAGCTATTTGGCCACAGTGACTAAATGAATGCTTGAATGGTGCAGGGTGAGGCTTTCAAACCTAAGAATACCAGATCAACTGTCAAGCACGGCGGTGGCATCACCCTTTGGCACTAGACCAAAAGCATCAAGTTTATGAAAGGTGGAAGACTGTTCCCAAATGCTTTAAATTCTCCTAGATAGTTAAATGGTAGAAACTTGGTCACAACTGGATGTTCCACCAGGAAAATAAGTCAAAACAGACATCAGGACCGGTTTCTGACTGAATCAAGCTTCTGAAATAGGTCTGCCAAAGCCTCAACCTCAATAAAAATTTGCGAACTGTACTTAAAAGATGAGTCTGCTCCAGAAAACCAAACATTTTAAATTATGTCTACCAACTCTGCCCAGAAGAGTGGTCAGATATCGTAATTAGGCCAGAAGCTTGTTGATGGCTGCAGAAAGCTTGTGGTTGAGGTTCTAGTTGGTAAGAAACATTTAAATAAACACTAGAATGGATGAAAATGAATATTTGAGCATTTGTGTATAAATGTAACCCTTAATGGAAGAGAGAATAGCCTGAATAACTGTAAACGTCTGGATCCCGTTCCTGTTTTTAAAAACCTTTTCATAATCATTTAATACTGGAGGGAAAAGGATTCAGTTCAGTCATTAAAGCCCCAAATCAACTAGCATCCATGCCCATGATGAGTTTACGTGGACCTCCGACCATGACTGCACAGCTGTGCAGTCTCCAAAAGTCTCTGAAATAAGACTCTAATAATCATTATTATTCAAAAGCCTACACTGTGAGTAAAACATGACCAACTAAAACAAATGAAACCAGGCCACATAAAAACCAGAGATGGTGAAGAATATTGGCTAAGTGCCCAAGGTCAATGTTTCTCTAATCACAGTTTTTCCGTTGAAAACTCCACCTTTTAGGTTTGTTTTGCCACGGACTCAAAAAGCAGCTAGCACTAACCTTTCCTCTTAGGTGGGGTTTGTTAGTGATTCATAAATATTCTTAAAGAACGACAGCTTGTGCTGTAAACAACTGGCATTTACAAATGGTGCAAAAGTCACTTTTTTTATTATAGGGTGTTTTAGAATGATAGTTTTCTTTTATTGATTTACGTAGGAACTAGAGTAAACAGGAAGCAGAGGGTTGGTTTGTCAGCGGTGAATCAGTGCATCTGCGTGCGTGTGTGTGTCTGTGCGTGTGTGTGCGTATCATTGTTTTACAAAATGTCCACATCCTCCTGTGCAGAGGTCAATTCTGCTAACAGGCTTTAGACATCTTTATCCTGGAACCATAATTTGATTTATTTTTGAACAATTTTTGCTCGGAAATTAATCTTGTCAAAGTGTATCTAAAAAAATCTGCATATGTGTGAGCAAGGTCAAAGGTCAGCTTTTATAAGGCTTAAAAAGGGATTTGAGCAGGCAGCAGGAACATGTGGAACACAGTTTTAGTACTTTGTTTCTTTATTATTTGATTTATTTTTGTTTAAATGACCAATAAGTCCAGCCAATCTTTAATAACAGTGGTGACTGGGGAAACGGCCACACCCAAACAATTCATGTCCCAACAAAGAAAGGCAGGAAGACAGAAAATTCAGAGAGGAAATTGAAAAAAGATGAGAAACTGTATTTAAACTGTGGTAGTTTGTAATTAACGGCCTCTTTGCTTAACACAGCTGTGAATGTAGACATTTTCTTCTGTGAGTGTGAATACCTGACCTATTTCTCCAGGGTGAGCAGATGTATTTGCTTAATGTCAGGATAGTGTGACTCATCCGACCCGAGATCAGTAAAGTGTATGAATGTGTGTGTTGGTGTACTCACACGTAACACTCTCGCTGGGCATAGTGAGGGTCGAATGCGAGCGGCCGTCGCTGTGATTGCATCTGTCTCCATCCTCGCTCAACAACAACCGATCCGGGGTACCGTTGACCCTCAATATGAGGGGCTCAGTGTAGATGTGGGCCACATCTGCAGAAATAAAGCACACACACGCACGCACACACACACACACACACACACACACACACACACACACACACACACACACACACACACACACACACACACACACACACACACACACACACACACACACACACACACACAAAGACTATTAGAAGGAACTTAAATCTGGGAAAAGTAAAAAAAAAAAAAAAACCTGAGATATATTCCCATACCTGTAAAAAACGTAACTTCCCATCTACAAACACTTAATTAATTAGGAGAGGAGTTTGCTGACTTCAACAAAGCCACATTTTGTCTGTGTTGCTGTGTGCTCAGTCCTAAACTTCCATCTGGAAGCAGTTAAATTCAGCCCCTTGTGGCTGTTTAGGGGTCTACGTGAACGCTTGTGAAACTTGAAATCTGTGTTGCTCAGTGTGTGTGTGTGTGTGTGTGTGTGTGTGTGTGTGTGTGTGTGTGTGTGTGTGTGTGTGTGTGTGTGTGTGTGTTTTCATGCGAGTGGGTGTCTGTTTAAAGTGAGCACATAGAAGACCATATACATGATATAGATGCTGTAACTGTAAGAGGGAGGGTTTTATGCTTTCAAAGACACCATGCAGTCCACTAATTAAGCTGTTTTTTAAACACACACACACACACACACACACACACACACAGTGACAACACAGAGGCCTTCAAAGTGAAGCAGGCACAGGCCTCTGAGAGGTGCATACTCATTCCTGGGTAAATGGGAGCCAGCTGGGCTTGATAAACACACACGCACACAAACAGAGCCACGTCCTGTGCATGGACTCAACACTTCCCGGCGATGTTTATTTACTCTATCCGCTCTCCCTCACCTCTCTATCTGTCCTCTCTTTCCTGTCCCCTGGCTCTCACATTGCTTGCCTCTATTTCTCTTTCCTCTGCACATTTGACCAAATTCCATGAATTGATTGCCACGGTTTTGGCTGAGGAGTTATCCTCTTAAATGCCAATCTCATCTGTAGAGACTTGTAATAATGCATACGCACTGAGCTTCAAAGGGATATTTGGTTTGTTTTTTAAAGTCTGGGTGGGTGAAGTGCCTATTCAGTATCTTATCTGCAGCAGACAGCAGTCAAGTAAATGTTTAGTTTGGAAAAGCAAAAAGGATTTGTGACAGGGTAGTGGAGTTAACTGCTGCTTAAAGCAATGGTTCAGTTCTTTTGAAGTGGGGTTGTGTGGAAAGGTTACGAGTAGAGATGCACTAATTGTGGCTTTGAGGGCTGACACTGATTATTTTATAACTCTGACAAACCATCATTGGTTTGGTTCAGTTCTGATTTATCCCAAAGATCTATACCTGATAAAATACATTGTAGTTATTTCTACTTTGGTTAAACATCCAGATCCTATAAGTAAAAATACTCACACAAATTAGAAATGGTACGTTTATGGACTGGGGATAAATAAGACATGACAACCAAAAATGAAGCCCAACATGCTAAAATATTGGCCAGTATTTGATTAATTAATATGATTAACATGAATCCAAATAGCTTTTTGAATGAACTCAGTTTGCAGAAATAGAGGTTGATTTGAAAATCCTCTCATAGTTATGTCACACTGTGAATTTGCATTCATGGCATTGGCTCACACCCGCCCACAGGAAGCCCTTTAGAATTTTTTTTTACAGCGAGCAGAGAGTGGAAAGTGTCTTGGTGATAGTGACTTTGAAACATGGCTGAACACATTCTGTTAGCCAATCAGAAGTGAGGTGTGTGCACATCATTAATATTAATGAGTAATCCTACTGCTTTCAGCCTCTGCACCAGCAAACGTCTGCTTCTCAGAACAGAAGCATTATAGCTTTTTTTTTAAAGTTACTCACGAGGCATTGATTTACACTAGAGAACACTTTCAAGTCACCTAAGGTGTGCGACTCCGCACTCGCGCTGATGAAGCATAAACCAAGCTTTAGAAATCAGCCTGAACCTGCTCCGATGTGGGAGGAGTCTCTCTCCCTTGCTCACCTACAGTGCCGTTATTATCGGCTCTAGCAGCGCTGTGTGTGGGAACATAAAACAGGAAAATAACCTGAACATGCAGCTCTGTCAGCTGTGAAGTTGGGCTCGGCTCTGGACGGTACACCCCACCCCCCTCCCCCATGCTGGCTTTTACCGCCGCTATAACACGGGTGGAAAACCCTGGATGTAAAAAAAAGTTACACAACTGAACCTGGATCATTCAAAACTGCTAAAACCGCAGCTTTGAGGGTCACGTGATCGTGCTGTTTGAAATCGCAATTTAGATCCAAAAACGATCGTTCAGCCATATAAACCACACCTTTAAGTGAATCTGAAAACAGTCAAAACGTTTCTAAATATAAAGTTATTTTATAGAACATTAAGTTTGGTGCCCGTATACATGCTTGTGACACTCAGAATTAGAGAATGAGGTGAGAGGTGGGTATAATAATAATAATAATAATATATATATATATATATATATATATATATATATATATATATGCATATATCTATCTATCTATCTATCTATCTATCTATCTATCTATCTATCTATCTATCTATCTATCTCTATATATATATATATAGGTATATATAGATATATATAGATATATATATAGGTATATATAGATATATATAGATATATATTATACAGTACAGGTCAATTGTTTGGACACACCTTCACATTCAATGCGTTTTCTTAATTTTCATGATAATTTACAAAAGGGCAACAAGTGTTAAACACCTCTGGGAACTCCTTCCAGGCTGCTGGAAAACCATTTCAGGTGAGTATCTCTTGAAGTTCATCAAGAGATTGCCAAGAGTGTGCAAAGCAGTCATCAGAGCAAAGGATGGCTATTTTGAAGAAAATAGAATATAAAACATGTTTTCAGCTATTTCACCTGTTTTGGTTAAGCATATAACTCCACATGTGTTCATTCATAGTCTTGATGCCTTCAGTGAGAATCTAACAATGCTCTCATGAGTATGGAATTGGGCATTTTCAACACACGTCTTAAGGCTGTGGTTGGCACTAAATGCACTGGGATTTATTATCCTGTGATTGTTCAGTAAAGCAATGTCGATTTTATATTTCCTCATTAGGATGACGCAGTGATAGCTTGCTCTTGTTGTGTTGTTGTGTGTCCCGTTTATTGTTTTGTTTGTTTTTTTCTTTCTGCAGGTCTAGAAGCAGACATTTGTTCATCATTGATTGTTTGTTTCTGCGACACCCCCCTTATATTATTATTATTATTATTATTATTATTATTATTATTATTATTATTATTATTAATATTATATTTTATTTCATTTTTTCATTTCATTTTTTTGTAAACACTGAAAACCTGCATTGTTGTATTTCAATGGATCCCCACTAAAGCCACAGTGCCATCGAAGCACGCCTTTAGTCATCTGTGTGTTGGTACTGACATCAAACCACCAAACCACTCGACCTCAGAGACATTCCTGAGATCTGAAAAAGATGAGCCTTAAATCAAAGTCAGAACTGCACAATCAGGAACTGCTAAGGACAGCTGGATGTGTGTTTAGGATGAGTCTATGTGTGTGTGTTTGTGAATGCCTCACCGTGTGCCTTGATATGTTCAAAGTGCATTTGGAGATGTACATGTGCATTTGGCCCTAAAGGGGCGACTTAGGGGAATTTCACCCTGCAAGTAAACAGTTACACATTAAAGAAAAAACAAATGGATGCCATGATTAGTGAATAAAAAGCAAGCACAAAAACAGTTTAGATGTGTTGGAGAATGATGTTTTGTATCCTGTTTCACCTGCAGGGGAGCATCCTGCTGCTCCTCAGGCTATAATCTCATATAAGAAGCTCTGACTGAAATGGGTTTTCCTGTTTCCTGTTAAACACACTCAAACCTGCAGCTGATGCTGTATTAGACTCCAATTATCAACACCTTGGAAAGGAAATAGAATTGTTATGCAGTTTCAGATTTTTCAACTGTATGTCTTTAGCGCTTACAAATTCTACTTTTGTAGTGTCAAGGGTTCATTGGGTCCTCACAAGATGAATTATCTGCTACAGTTAATCTTATAACCTAGGTTCACTGATAAATCAGTTTTATACTTGTTTTTTATTTTTAAATACAATCAGTCACTCTGAGATTATTGTGCAGGCTAAGCATGAAAAAAGCTTTCTACCCCTATTTCCTGCATTAGCTGCTCATAGAAAATCAGTGGAGAAATGCTTGGATTAAAAAAGCCAGTCAGATCTATGTCACTGTTAACTTAGCATTCATGAACTCAACTATCTTGGTTCACGATGGGGAAGGCTGTTACTGATTTAGCGTCCAGCCTCAGCTTTCTGATTGGCAACACAACACATTCAACAGGCAGCACACTTGTTTGTTGTTGAAAATTGGACCAAGACTATCCAACACATCTGATAGCTCTGATTTAGGGTTGGAGAGGCCCAGATGTCCATTATAGCAGACCAAAGAGCTCTTAACACACCACACACTGCAGGAATATCTGATAAGATTGTCTTTAGAGCTATTACAATAATTTGACATGATTGTCAGAATCTAGTTAAAAGTTAATCAATAAATAATACTTAATTTATACACTAGGTGTACTTTGCAGTGTAAAAAACATCAAAAGCTTCAAAAGGTAAAAAGAATGGACTTAATTTGAATACACTGACATTTTTACTAATTTTCACACACACACACACACACACACACACACACACACACACACACACACACACACACACACACACACACACACACACACACACACACACACACACACACACGTAGGCAAGCATGATCTGTTGCCATTTTTAAAGAGCTACCGAAGACTTATTAATACTCAACAGCTTTTAACACTCCTGGTTGACTTTGTAGTCCTGCTTTTTACCATTTTTTATGTCTGATTTTGAATGTATTGTTTTTGGGGTTTTATTATGCTTTAAATTGACTGCTTATATTTTAATGTTTTGATATATTTATGCTCAGCATTTTGAACATTTTTATTTTAATTTACCAA